ACTCCTAGGTATACAGTCAAGAGAACTAAAAACACATGTACACACAAAAACTTGTATATGAATGTTCATTACAGCATTATTCATGATAGCTAAAACATGGAAACAACTTATTTATTTAACAGTTCATTCCTTTTTATTGCTGAATTGTGTTCCATAATATGAATATACCACAGTTTGTTTATTGATTTACTCATTGAAGGGGCTGTTTCCAATTTGGGGGTATTATAAATAGAGCTGTGTCTTAGTCCTTTCAGGCTGCTATAACAAAGTGCCATAGACTGGATAGCTTATAAACAACAGAAGTTTGTTTCTTACAGTTCTAGAGAATAGGAAGTCCAAGATCAAAGTGCCAGCAGATTTGGTGTCTGGTGAAGACCTGTCCTGTTTCACAGATGGTGGCTTTTTGCTATGTCCTTTTATGGTCCCTCTCTGGGGCCTCTTTTATAAGGACACTAATCCCATTCTTGAAGGCTCTGCCCTCATGATCCTCCAAAGGCCCCACCTCCTAACAACAACATGGTCACCTTGAGGGTTAAAATTTCAACTTACAAGTTTGGGCAGGACACAAACATTCAGATCTTAGAAACCAACTATAAACACTCACTCACTCTTTCTCCCATCCTTCTGCTACTCTGATGACACATATTTAGACTTTTTGGTTTTGTCCCACAGTCCCTCAGGCCTTAATTTTTGTTGTTGTTTTTAATCTTTTTCTCTCTATTATTCAGACTGGGTAATTTCTATAGATCTATTCTCAAGTTCACAGATCCTTTTCCATGATATCTCCATTGTGCTATTTAGCCCATCCATTGAGGTTTTTTTTCACACTTCTTTCTTTTTATTTTTTTCTTATATAACATTTTTATTCGCTATAAATTTAATACATGTTCACTATAAAAAACTTTTTGAGAAAATACAAAAAAGTAGAAAGAAGAATAAAAATCATACATAATCCCACAACTCAAAGAAAATAAAATTTCACAATGTTTCCTGACAGTCTTTTTGTATGAAAATATTTTCACATAGTTAAGATCATACTGTATGGTTTTGTTTTTGTTTTTGGCCACAAAATAAGTCTTAATATATTTAAAAAGATAAGATCATTGAAAATATGTTCTCTGACCACAATAACAGAAGGAAATTTAGAAAAGTCACAAATGTGTGGACATTACTCTCTCCTAAATAAACAATGAGTAAAAAGAAAAACCACAGGGAAATTAGAGAGTACTTTGAGATAAAAATCCAAGTGCAACATATCAATATTTATAGGATGCAGGGCTCATGCAGTGCTTAGAGGAAAATTTACACTTGTAAACACCTATATTAAAAATAAAACAAATCAGTAATTTTGTTGACCTTTTTAAAGAATCAACTGTTGGTTTTGTTTATTTTCTCTATTGTTTTTTATTCCCTATTTCATATATTTCTATTAAAATCTTTATTTCCTACTTATATTCACGTTTGGTTTAGTCTGCTCTTCTTTTTCTGTTTTCTTAAGGTAGAAGTTTACATTACTGAAAAGTGGAAACAAATGTCCATCAACTGATACAGGGCTAAATGAAATGTGATACATATGTACAATTGAATATTATTCAGCCATGAAAAGGAATGAGGTACTTATACATACTACAATGTGGATTAACCTTTAAAACATGAAAGTGAGAGAAGCCAGACACTGAAAGGTACGATTATATGATTTCATTCACATAAAATGTCCAGAATATGTACATGTAAGCTTAGTGGTTGCCAGGGACTGGGAGGAGGGGGAAGAGGGGAGTGACTGCTAATAGATACAGAGTTTCTTTTTGGTTAATGAAAATCCTCTGGAATCAGACAGTAGTGATGGTGGCACAGCTTTGTGAACACACTAAAACCCACCAAATTGTATACCCTAACATGCTGAACCTTAATGCTGTGCAAATTGTATCTCAACAAACAAAAATTTCAAAGCACATTCACTTCAATCATCACATTCGATTTGCCTTTGGAGAACACAAAGCTGTACTATGAGCACCAATTTCCAGAAGTGGAAACTGAGGCATGAAGGTGGCTGCCTAGAATTACAGACTTGACCCTGAATTCAGTTTTCCATCTACCTGGATAGTAGAATCCAAATTAGCTAAATCTGAATCCCTCATAGGCATTTGTAAGAAAGAAATGCCCATGTAACAGTGGACTCTGGCTGAAAAAGGAATGTGTTACCTTCCACACTGCTGTCTATCGGGTCAGACGGACCCAAAAACCTCTTTTGGGCAGGAGGAAACCTCTGCTCAGAAACCTCCTTCAAATAATTCCCATAAAAGTGGTCAGGTTTAAAACATTCATCCTTCTGCTCCCAACTGTTAACGCTAACCCAGGTTTTCTATTGTGTCAGCTCACAGATCATATTTGGGCATGCTGCTGGTGGGGGAAGAAACCAGGCGGGGACCTTGTGTCCAGTTCTGCCTTCTCACACGGGGTAGCAAATACAAATACCTTTTAGAGCACAGGGCATGCAAATGGAGTATCCCTCGACCTCCTCAATCCTTATTCAGAACTTTTGTAAATTGTGGGAAATCAAATAATGCTACCCACTGTCTTCTCTTTTTTAACCAATTTGTCCCAGTGATTCTTGGCAAATGTGACTGTTTTAAGATATGAGTGGCACTCCATTACTAATGACTACTCTCTGGGATTAGGACTGAAATCTAAAGCTGCACAATACCTTTTTGTGTGTGTGTGTGTGTGTGTGTTTTTTTAAAGAGTTCTGAACTGACCCACTGCTAGTTGTATGTCACTTGGGAATCTCCTTGGTTATAGAAACTGCCTTCCCATAGGAGTCTACAAGACCACCACATTCAGTAAAGTGGGCCACCATCCCAGACATTCTAGCAACCAGGGATGGATGGGACTTCTCTCCTGAAAGGGTTAGTAGGAGAGGGTGGAGTTGCCTATTGTTTTCTTCCCTGCAGGAAGCCACAGGACCATGTGCTGGCTGTGGCGCAACTGAGGGGTGCTGGGTAGGGCTGCAAGCACCATGGAGTTTGCTGACCTCATCGCAGGCTGCACAGCGCGGCTTCAGGCACTCTGCGTGGTGCCTGCCACAGTATATCTTCCCATCTTGGTAAAAATAGATCAAATCCACCAGGAGCTCATTGCAGACAGTGCAGATGAAGCACGGTGGATGCCAGCAAACACCGTGGCCGGCGCGCGACGCAAACACAGCGATGTCCCCACCGTTAATCTGCCCTCCACACTGCAAGGCAAACAGAAACATCAGTACAAACACCAGCCCCACCTCAGGGCTATGCATAAATGATCAGTGACCACCGCCAATAAATAGCTGGTGTTGAGCACTTAGTTTCAAACTAGTCACTGTGCTGCCTGCTTTACACACATGGCACGGCAGGTTTTTCTTGTCCTCCTTTCCTATGGCCTGCCAGTAAGATGAAGATAAAGTCACTGAGAGAAGAAGAAATCACAAAGGTGGGAAGGAAAGAAAAACTCTTTTAGCATAATAACATACAGGCGCTCTGCAGGCAGGAGGCAAACTTGCAAAGAGTGAAGGTCTCATTACCTTTTAGCTACTTCAAACTCCTTGCAGAGGCATAGCCAAGTTTAACACCAGGAGGAGGAGGCTGGGGGGGGG